AGTCCACACTGTGTTAGCACCACCTGCAGCAGCCCCGCACCTGAGGGTGGTGAGGACAGGACAGGACAGGTGACCCTGCAGCAGCAAGGCCAGGACGCCCTCCTGACCGCCTTTCCTCATCTGTGACACACAAAGCAGAGCCTGCAGCCACAGAGAAAGTAACCCTGAAGCCTGGTCTGGGCCCTTCCCTCTTCCGGGAAGGAGAGGAGGAGGAGACCAGCAAGTGCAGAGGACAGAGGGTTTCTTTGTGTGATGCTTTTTTTTGGTCTTTTTGAAATAGGATCTCTATATGCTTGCTGTTCAGGGTAGCCCAGGGTGGTCTCGAATTTGCAACAATCCTCCTGCCTCAGCCTCCTGAGTGCTGGGATTACAGGTGTGCACCACCACGCTGGGCTCAGAAAGCTTCTTTGGGGTTGATACCCACAGGCTTTCTGCTCCTGGTGCTGTTCCATCTCCAGTGACCAAAGTGGCCTCCTCCTCTGTGTCTTAACTGTTCCAGGTACTCTTTAAACTCTGTATATTTAGTTGTAAATTTTCTTTAAAAAAAAAAAAAAAAAAAAAGACAGTCTTGCTAACTCACTATGTAGCCCAGGCTGGCCTCAAACTCAGTGTTCCTCCTCCCTCAGCCTCTGGGGGTGCTGTGATTACAGGTATGTGCCACTACCCCTGGCCCAGTGGCTGTTTACATAGAAGAGAGAAAACCCAGGAATTTAGGATACAAAAACCTCTATTCCTTTATCCTAGGCAGCGTGTGCCTTTTCACCAGGCCATCCCTGAAAACACAGAGACGAAAACAAGCCACACAAAGGAGCTGTTCCATCACCAAGAAGGCAAGGGGCCCCGGCCAGCCAGGCAAACGAGTTGCTAGGCAGCAGGGTAGATATTGACATCATCCTTCTGAGTGTATAAATAAAGGTGCTACAGTGGTTGAGCAGTTCCTGCTCCCTATTAGGAGGTAAGGGCTCGACTTGACCTTGGTTTTGTCTATTCTTTATTTTCTCATCCTCTTGTGGTCCTTCACCCCAAAAACCTCAAGAGCCATGTGAGTCACACCAGGATTGCAGGAAGGAAAGAGCTGAGGCTGCCCCAAAGCATGATGGGGAAGGGAGAGCAATGATGAATTTCTCTCTGGGACCTCACAGGGCTGGTCCCAGGACAGTGAGCAACCAGACCAGGATGTGCCCAAGCTGCCATCTGCCAGCTGCACAAAACCCAGTTATTCAGCCCTTCCGTTTCAAGGAAAGCCCAAATATGTACCTGTTCCTCACCTGTCCCCTGAGCATGGCCCTGCTAATTTTTTTTTTTTTTTTTTTTGGTACGGAGGATTGAACTTGTGACCTTGCATTTGTCAGGCAGGTGCTTCCACTGCTGAGTTAAACCCAAGCCCCCATTTAAAAAAAAAAAAATTGGTATCAGCGATCGAACTCATGGACCAGGCGCTTCTGCTGCTGAGCTAAATCCCCAGCCCCATGTTTTAGTTTTTTTGAAACAGGGTCTCTATGTAGTTCAGGCTGGCCCTGAACTCACTGCGTAGCCCATGATAGCCTTGGACTCTAGAAATTCTCCTGCCTCTACCTCCTCAGTGCAGGGATTACAGGTGTGTGCCATCACACCCAGCTTTTAATTTTTAAATTAAAAAAAATTTTTTTGGTACTGAGAATCAAACTCGGGACCTTGGGATTGCCAGGTAGGCACTTATGCTGCTGAGCTATGTCCCTGGCCCTAGTTTGTTAACTCATTTCAAATTTAATACTCCAGTACCGAAGGATTATAGTGTTTGTTTGTTTGTTTGTTTTTTGTACTGGAGATTGAACTCACAACCTCAGGCTTCTCAGGCAAGTGCTTGAGCAGCTGAGCTAAATGCTCAGCCCAGGAATGTAGTTTTGAAACATGTCCTTTACCTGTTCAAGAGAAACAGGGATGGGGGAAAGAAGAAAACGAAGGGGAATAAAGGTTCTTTTACTTGCTACCCTATATTGTCAGTCAGTTTCTTTTCTTTTTCTTTTTGCGGTACTTGGGATTGAACTCATGACCTTGTGCTTGCCAAGCAGGCACTTATGCCACTGAGTTAAACCCCAGCCCCTTATTGTCAGTTCCATAAAATTAAAATTATCAAACTTTCAGAGGGAAAGGGTGTTCTTTTTCTTTCAGTATTAGGGATTGAACCTAGGGTCTTACAACAGGGCCCTTTTTTATTTATTTTAAGGATCTTGCTAAGTCACTAAGTTGCCTTGCCTGGGCTAGAATTTGTAATCATCCTGCCTCAGCCTCCCAGAGTGCTGGGATTACAGGCCCAGCTGGCAGAGTCCATTTTGAACTTCCCTTAGCCCCATTACCCTCTGTGGGCGCCCACTCAGAGGTAAGGATGATTTGGGCAGCCTGGCCTCATCCCCAGAGCAGGGCCAAGACTAGTTGCAGGGGACATCAGGCTGGTGGCCTGACCTGGATTGAGGTATGGTCAACCCTGGCAGGACAAGGCAAGAAGGTCCTGCAGAACCACAGGAGCTGCTCTGCACACCCCTGGCTGGTGGCCAGGGGAGAGCAGCCTCTACCTCAGCCTTTTCACACCTGTCAGGGGCTGGTGGAGAGGGCAGGTGACAGGGTGGAAGCTGTGCTGGGCACTGAGCTGCATGTGCTCTTTGGCCAGCCCGGGCGGGCGGGGAAGGGCAGAGTACCCAGGGCTCAGCACTGCAGATGGCTTGCTCTTTGGTCTGGTGCTTGAGCTGCCACAGGTAACTGCAGCCTGAGTGCTGGCACAGCACCCCTCCTGCAGCAGGGTGGGGGTGGGCACAGTCATGGGGGGCCAGGAAAGGTACACAGTCACCATCTCTGCCTGCCTCAGCCCCTCCTGGCCAATCATCCACCGCGCTCTGTTCAGTCTGCCAGGTGCTGCCTGGTTCCTTTTAGGGTAAAGAGAAGGTTTTAGAATTTAAGAGGGGTGCTATTGCACATGATGGATGCACTAAACTGTTCACTTTCAGCTGGTTCATTTTAGTCTTGTGTGGTAGCACTGGGCTGTAATCCCGGCACTCAGGAAGCTGAGACAGGAGGACAGCGAGTTTGAAGTGACCCCTCATGGATGATGGTCCTTGGGCCCCTGGTAAGACTTTGGCTGCGTCCTTGAGGAGCAGTGTGGCCCTGGGCACTGCTCACCACTGACAGAGTCCTGGATGAAGCCTGTGTGTAACGCAATGGAAGAGTTCTTGCCCAGCGTGTACCAGCCTGGGTCTCTGACATGCAGGGACAGCCATCACAGGCGAGCCAGGCCATCTCCGTAAATGGGTGCTGGACTGCCTGCAGAGTGCACAGGATTTCTATGAAGCTATGGTCTGGGGACAGGCTGCACTCTGCCCAGCAGTGTGAGTTGTTTATTCATTCATCAAACATTTAAGTGGCTACTTGGTGCCAGGTCCAGGTTTTAGGTTCCAAATTCAGCAGCAAACTTGATACTCTTCTGCAGTTTACAGGGCAGTGAGTAAAGTACAATAAGTTACCATAGCAGTGGACAAAACAACAAGAAATAGCAGCTGTTATTATTAGTAGTGGGCTTCAATCTACTACTGTTAAAATTCTTTGTGGTTTTTTTTTTTTTTTTTTTTTTGGTCTTTTTCCTTTTTATCGGTACCAGGGATCGAACTCACGACTGCCTGCTTGCAAGGCAGGCGCTTATGCCGCTGAGCTAAATCCTCAGCCCCAATTCTTTGTGTTTTGAGACAGGGTCCCTGTGTAGTTCAGATTGGCCTTGAACTACTACTTAGCCAGGCTGGTCTCAGACTCATCCTCCTGCCTCAGCCTCCCTAATGCTGGGATCACAGTTATGGGTCACCACACCCAGCTTTTAAATGTTCTTCATAGAAAATGTATGCTACCTTCCCCACACGCTATATTGGGGGATGGAACCCTGGGCTTTCACACTGAGCTTTATGCCCAGACCTTTTACAGTTTGTATTTTGAGACATGGTCTCATTAAGTCACTATAATACCGAGGCTGGGTTTGAACTTGTGACCCTCCTGCCTCAGCTTCCCAGAGTTAGAGGAGTTGGCTCCTAGGAGGCAAGATCCACAGCTCAGGGTGAGGACATGCCCTAGGACATTCTGGCTTCCTGGCCACTTGCTTTGCACTGGGTTCTGTTTACTAACTGCCATTTATTTCACTGCTTTAAAAAAAATTTTTTTTTTCTTTTTTAAAATTTTTGAGACAGGGTCTTGCTATGCAATTCAGATTGGCCTTGAGCTCACTTTGTAGCCCAGGCTGCACTGAATTCTCAACAATCCTCCTGCCTCAGCCTCCCATATTTCGCTGCTCTTAATCCGTATCAGTCCAGCTGCACTGCCCTGAACCAAATAGCACTGCTGGGTCGGGTGCAGAGTGGGTACAGACAGCACTTACCTAGCACAAGCAAGGCCCTGGGGGCCACCCCTGGCAAAGCAACAAATACACAAGCAATAAAGCCCAAACCAAAAGCTCTCACCCTCCCAGCCCCCTCCCACCACCCTGCCCAGCTGTGAGCAGGGTTCACTGCTCTCAGTCTCCTCTGTCTCCCAGGACTGTCTTGGGGACTGAGCCCAGGGCTCTGCACTGAGAGGCGTCCCCAGCTCTGTCTTCCTATTGAGGCTGGGTCTCACTAAGTGGCCCAGGCTGGGCCCGATTTGCCATCCTCCTGCCTCAGTCTCCCAGAATGCTGGGATGCCAATGATCACCACCAGGCCCAGCTACTACTACTCTCCTTTGGTCCCTTGTTCCAAGTTCCTCAGCCTACTTTAACTTTGCACAATGGACAGTTGGCTACATTGCAGAGGGTGATGATACTGCCTCAGCCTCCCTAAGTGGTGGGAGTGCTACCATGCCCAACAAGATTACTTTTTTTTGTTTTTTTTTACTGGTACCAGGGATCAAACTCACGACCACACGCTTGCAAGGCAGGCACTTATGCCACTGAGCTAAATCCCCAGCCCAAGATTACTTTTAATATATCCATTCAAAAAATAGTACACAACCATTGAATATTAATAAAGATGCATATTTATTCATGTGGAAGTCTTAAGTAAACAATATAATAAGAAATAAGTTAGAAAAGAAAAGCATATTCCAAAATAATGAGTGGTTATTTTTGGACAATATAAAAATATACAGAATTGCCATTAATAAAATAAATGTGGGGAACTTGTTAGACATGAACTCCTGCGCCCCGTACTCCAGGTTCTCATCTAGGTTCCCTTGAGCCCTGCCACATAGCTCCTTGAGTTAATGTTTCTTTTCTTATTGTTGTTTTGAGACAGGGTTTCCTTATGTCCTTCAGTTGGGCCTTGAACTTACCATATAGCCCTGGCCAACCTTGAACTCTCAGCAACCCTCCTGCCTCAGCCTGCTGGATTACAGGTGTACCACCGTGCCTGACTTTTCTCCTGTTAATGTTTATGCATAGCCTGCTCCCTACTTTTGAGGAGTTCTTGTGAACCTGAAATTAACTCTGGGTCTTCTCTGGAAAAGAAATGGGTACCCCAACCCTGGCTATAATTTTGGGGTGGTAACCCCTACTCTCTGAAAAGTCTGAACCTCCACTGTGCAGCAAGGTCCCCCCCCCCCCCGCCGTGTCACCACTGAGGTCTGAGTCTCACTTCTGTGCTTCCATCAGGTTCTGCTGGCACTCCATGGGGACCCACTGGGGGTACCCCAAGTGCTGGCCCCACAGTGCCTCTCAGACTGTGGCCACGGCTCCTGCAATCCAGAGTCCCTGCATCTTACCAGGTCACCCCCACCCTGCCAGGACTACAGCCTCCCCATGTCCTCTCTGTCTGCATGCCAGTGTGGTCTTGGTGATGGCTAAAGGTCCAATCAGTGTCACAAGCTTTAGGCCCCAGGAATGAACACTGTTCAGTCTCCTCTTCCCATGAGTGTCCTTGAGTCCCAGGCTGGGAGCCTTAGAGGCTTCCAGAAGACAAGGCCACCAGCAAGTCTGGTCCATGCAACACAGGCGTCCGTGGCCTCAGCCACCAGGTGGCGTCACCGACCCAGCGGGAGGAGCAGAAGGACCGGAGACTGTCCCCACCCAGCTACGCCTGTCCCCTGTCCCCTGTCCTGAGTAGTGGTGCTTGCTCCTGTCTTTCACTTCTCCTCCTGCTGGGTCGAGCTGCAGACAGGGGGCCCAGGGAAAGAGCTTGGCCCTGGCATAACAACAGGAAACACCAAACACTTTTTAACAGCTATGATTAAAAATCCCCAAATCCCAAAACCAACCATGAAAATAACGTGTTGCCTGTTGATCTCCACAGCAGAGCTGTTGGCTGGGGCCATCTGTTCTCTGTCCCCACCCTGGGACACCCCAGGGCCCAGCTCCTCAAAGAGGCTTCCAGGAACTGCGGAAACCCGTGGCCACTAGGTGGACGCTTTCCTTGAGACTCAGCAAGGCTACTTCTTGTGGAGAAACTTCATTTTGTTGCCTAAGAAAGAAAATAAGGATATTTAATGATACCGGGAAATGCTAGTGAGTTAACTGCTGCCCTTTTCTTTTTCGAGACCCTGTGGCATGTGGCTCAGGCTGGCTTTGGCCTACTCAGAAGCCCAGAATGGCCTTGAAACTGTAGCAATCTTCCCGCCTCGGCCTCCCAAGTACTGGGATTACAGGTTGGGGACAAACCAGCACAGGACATACAAATGCCATTTCACCTGCCCTGTGGAGGTAGTAGAGCCCCACATTATTTTCAGCCCTGGCTTTGAGAGGAAACTGGCCAAGTATTTTGCAGAGAGGTGCTGGACAGAGGTTGTGGCCTTACCAAGTCCCTTCAGGAACCGGTTGACGCCGCTGTGGTCCCCACTAGGCAGTGTTTCCAGGTACTCCTGGGCGCGGACCTCAAACAGACCTGGCGACAAGAGACCCCAGTCCTGTCACCTTTTCCTCTGTGTGGCCCCACGGGGGACACTTCCCCTAGCACACCTCAGAGTTGCCCTTCTACCTGCCCTGGCTTGGGCAGAACTGACTGCAGAGAGCTGCAGTCAGCCCGTACACACAACTGCGTCGTGACTCAGCATACACTTCCCAGGTGTCCACACTGCACTGGGCACGCGGTTTCAAAGCCACGCCTGACCCCTCACCCCCAAGGCCAAGAAGGCTGGGCCCCTTCCTTTTGTGGTCTCTTCAGAGGTCAGCAGGTCTTTGGTTCCTGTTAAGCCTCGCTGCCTTCCAGCCCTTCAGCACACAGTGACTGGTAAATACTGACTGATGGACTGTGGTACGGGAGAATGAACTGAGCTAGGCCTCTGGGCTTCTTTTGATTTTATTTATTTATTCATTTGGTCGGTTTGGTGCCAGAAATCGAACCTTACACTTGCCAGACAGGTGCTGTGCTGCTAAGCTACATCTGTGGCCCTTTATTTATTTTATTTTTATTTATTTATTTATTTTGAGACAGGGTCTCACTATGTAGTCTAGTGAATTTTTTTTCACTGTCTTTGAATTTTTTTTCTTTTTGGTATCAGGAATTGAACTCATGACCTTATGTTCACTGTGCTGCTAAGTGATGTTCCCAGCCTAGGCTGACGTTGAGTTCACTATGTGGCTCAGGCTGGCCTTGAACTCATGGAGATTCTCCTGCCTCAGCCTCCAAAAGTGCTTGGATCACGGACCTATGCCATTATGTCTTCTTTTTTTTTTTTTTTTTTTTTTTGAGACAAGGCCTCCCCAATTGCTAACCTGCCTAGTATGAGCTCAAACTTGCCATCCTCCTGAGTTCTGGAATTATAGGAGTGAGCCCCACCTGGCTGGTTCTGGAGGGTTTTGCAAGGTAATACCTGGAGGGGGCGTTGTTGAACAAGGGAAGCAGGGAGGGTGAGGCAGGGAGGCCAGGCCTTGCACCAGCTCTCAACAAGTGGGTGCTGTGCTTGCTGGCACCCTTTACCCTCAGGACAGCACCTACCCTTGGTGTCTTGCCGGCACAGCTCACGCTCCTGCATAAAGCCCCGGAAGGTCTGGGTCTCCATGAAGACCTCAAGGAAGCGGCGCAGGCTCTTGGAGGACACGGCCTTGCGGAAGGCCTCACGCTGCAGGGCCCGCTCCTCACGCTCGCCTGCGCCTGGTGTCAGGAACAGTGGGTAGTGGCCCACGACCTCCACAAAGAAGCGCACGAAGGCCTCGGACACCACTTCGCTCAGGGGGCTGCACCTGGGGCCTGGAGGGGAGGGGAGCGGGGCATGAGGGTTTTCGTCAGGCAGAAGCTACATAGCTATGAAGACCCGCCCCTCCCTCTGCCATCCAGGAGAAAGTCACCTTAGGTCATCAAACCACTTCTATTCTACTTTTGTTTTTGCTTTTTGAGATAAGGACTTTCTGTGTAACCCAAGCTGGCCTTAAACCCATTATGTACTCCAGGCTGGCCTCAAACTTGCAGCAATCCTCCTGCCTCAGCCTCTGAGTGCTGGGATTAGAGGTGTCTGCCATCATGCTTGGCCCAGGCCATTTCTCTGCCTTCTTTTCAGGGCTGCCTTGAGGGTAGTGTGGAGTTCTCCCCATAATTCAAGTCTTTCATGAAATCAGATTCAAGCAAAGAAACCCCGTTTTCCTCCTGTGTCTCCTACCCTTTCTCTCAAGGATTTGAGGCACAGCAGGAACAGGCTTACCATGCTCACAGTCTGGGGACCCTCCGTCCTGGTCACAGGCCAATTCATTCCTTTGTTCCAGAATGTGTTCTAGGGCCACCTGCAGCTTCCGGGGCAGAATGGAGTCTTCGTCCTCCATCTGTGCAGGAGAGACACAGGAAGGCAGCTCAGTGCCTGTTTATATTATTATTATTATTATTAAGACAGTAGTCCAGGCTGGGCTTCACCTCATTAGGTAACCCAGGCTGTCCTCAAACCCCTGGGCCCACAGCAGAGGCCCGGAGCCTCTGGGAGGGACAGAAGGAGCTAATAAGGAAAGTGGCACCTATACTGCAGAGTCCAGCAACCCAAAGTACACTGCGGCAGAATGCTAGCAAGCCTCTCTGGGACTCATCCCTTTCCCTTCTTTTTCTGTGGTACTAGGGACTGAACCTTCGTACCATAAAGAAAATTTTAAAACTTATAACCCAACAGTATATTAAAAGGGCTGTGGGTTTAGCTCAGTGGCATAAGTGCCTGCCAGGCAAGGGTGAGGTCGTGAGTTCAATCCCCATTACCAAAGAACAAAACAAACAAAAATGCACACAACCCCCCCCCCAAAAAAAAAAACCCAGTATATTAAAAGCAGAAAAGGCAAGCCTAGACTCAGCTAGCCTTGAGATGCCCCCATGCCAGCTGCAACTTGTAAGGTAGACACAAGTCAACCAGAAAGTACATCTTGTGTTAATGTGCTTCAAGGACAGACTCCCTCAGTTAAAAGACAATGGTGGATTCTACTCACTCACCCAAGCCCCTGACCTTCCTGCTGTGTGATAAGAAACCCCTTTCAGCCCAGAGCAAGTCTGCCTGACAACACATGACCCAGCCTATGTAACCAATTATAAAATAACCTGCCATCAGTCTTTAGTACTTTCTGCCTAAAACTATGTAAGTGCCTGTTTAACCCTAGGAGAGGGCTGGTGATTTGGAACTCTGCTTCTCCCAGCCAGCTGGCATAATAAAGAGTTGCCTTCTGTTATGGTTTGAAAACTGGTGGTCAACTTAACGCCAGCTGGATTACATCAGCATGCATTGAGAGAAGATGCTCCACCTGAGGAGGGTTGTCAGGATAAATAGGTAGAGAAGAAGAGAGTTGTTGAGAGGGATTGAGGTGTTAAAGGAGGTATTGTGGGTTCTCCTACAAGTTGCTGTCTGAGCTGTTGGTTCTCCTGGAGAAGCTTTGGTCTTCACATCGAGCATTGCTTCCTGGCTCCGGAGGGGAAAACATGTGCTGCCTGGTCTTCAGGATGAACTCGTCACGCTGCTTCCTGGCACATACCCGACTGTGCTTGTCGTTGGAGGAGCTCAGGGCCTCTGTGTCGCTGAGGACAGCTGTGGTGCCTTTCAGGCTAGCCCTGCTTTTTGTTGTGAGTGTGACTTCTTAGCTCCAGTGTAGAACCCTCATCCCACTAGCACAGCTCCTTCATCCTGCTGGCATAGACTTTCTGGCTTCCACCGCTGACCCTTGGGTCTTTCTGGCACGGTTCCATAAAAGAGACTGGCATGAGTCCTTCTTGTGGGCTCTGGGCTTCCAGTTGGCTCGTGGGAGGCAATGTCCTGAGTTCTGGGTTTTTATCTGGACACATGTGGGACATGTGCTGTGGGGTTTAGACCCTTGACTAAATAATCTATGTCTTTGGTGTTGTGGATAAATTTCCTGCATTTTCCGGTGTTAACTCCCAGTGACCATTATAAAAATATTATAAACTCCATGTCCTGATCTGAATTGTTCTCTGTGTACAATCCCTCAGTGACTGTGTGTCTTCCATCTGATTCAGTCCTGGTTTTTCCACATGTCTTGGTGCATTTAGCCAGGAAGACACTGTGATGACCCATTTGAGTCACTGGTGGAGGACTGCTGACCATGACAGGGGCTCACCCTCTGAACTGCAGACAAGAAGGTGCACCCTTTTCTCAGTGTCTCCTCAGCAGTCCAGGAGTGGGAGCCCCTGTGCGACAGCAGTGACCCTAAGAGGACTCAGAATGCAATAAGGTCTGAACCTCAAAGGGCCCTCGACATCCCTCTGTCAACCAGTCTGTTTTAGCTCGTCAGTTCCACTCTCCTTCAGGATGAAATGAGGACCTGATTAACTCTCAAAGCCTGTCTTAGCAGTCTGTGTTAGGACAGTCAGCTTGTGTTTTGGACTGTTTGCCCCAGGGTCTGTGGGTGGGAATGTGTTAGCCTTTGTATGCCTGCTGAATGATTGTGTGGATGTCTATAGAACAATGTAAGCAATAGGTCATTCCGTCTGTGTTCCATGGTGAATGCACTACCCTGACCCAGGAGCTTAGGGCTACAGAAGCTGCTTAGGCTCTAACCTGTGTTTCCAGGTTGCACCACCACTCAAGGGCACACTACATATGCCACAGAAAGGATGGGGTATAATGAGTCAAAGCTTATAATTCTGGAATATATCTTAAACAACATATCTTAAATAATTGTTTTTTTTTAAGCCTTTAAAATTAAAAAAAGAGGTATTTTCTGGTAATTACAAAGTTAAAATGAAACCAAAATGGTTCTGTTCTTAAACAAAACTGCCTGAACAACGCCCATTCTTCCTGAGGATTCCTCCTTGGCAAATGTAGCATCTTTTATTGGCCAGGCTTTCCCCTTGCACTCCTGGCTCTACGCCCTGCCAATTGGACTGGTTCCAGCCACCAGTCCTTCTGTTGCCAGCCCTCCACTTGTTCATCTGATGCTATGCTGGCTGCCTTTCCACCCTAACTCTGGAGAGTCCAGTCAGTCATTGTCTGTGTTCCGTCACCGACACCCTCCCCTTCCCTGAGCCTCATGCTGTGCAACTGCCCTTACGTGCTTACCCTGGGCAGCTGCATTCACCACACCTCTTGCCCCATCTAGCTCACCAGAACCTAATCTGGCCAGTCATCACCTCCACTCATCTCATCTGTAGATGCTACTCCCTGTCCACTTGAGAGGCCCACTTACACTTAATTTAAAAAATGACCTTTATTATGATGAATAAAGATAAATAGATGCTTAACTTTAGTGCCCTGGGACGTACAGGTAGGCACTACAGGCAGGCTAATTAAAAGAGCAGCCAGCTGATCCAGTGGCCAAACTACAAGGCCAGAAGACTTAGGCCCAGCTGTGCCTGCCGAGACTGAAGAGTAAACAAAACAGGGTTTATCTTTTCATGTCAAAGAGAATGCAAGATGCGACTGGGCCCAGGGTCTCCCCTACCTCCCAAAGCTCCAATCAAGACCAGCTCTTACTCAGCTTCATCAGTCTGGTGCTGCCTGCAAAAGTATGGCAGCTGAGACAGCTCCAGCCTGGGGCAAGTGGCAATTCTAGGGTTAACTTGCTCTCTGCTCTGTTGTTTTACAATCAAAACACTAATTCCAGAGGTTACTCAGAGGTCTGCTGGCAGTCAGTCAAGCTTGCTAACCAGAGGAAAAAAAGGAACATTTTAAAATTCAAGTGGCTCAGCCAAGTTTCTTGTAAAAGGTTTATAGTAGATGAGAAAAAGATATTAAAATGGTATTAAGCGCTACGGAGTCTGATTGGGCCCTAACCTGTGTTTCTACATTGCACTACCATTCAAGGACACCCTACATACGCCACAGAGAGAGGATGGGATCCAAAGAGTCAAAACTTGTTATTCTGGAATATAAATGTAAATGTAAACATAATTTGATATGAGAGGATTCTGTACCATAAAAGTTTTGTCCCACTAAAGAGATTAAAAATAACAACACTAGAAAGCTTATGTACAGAGGGAAAGCTTATGAACGTGGTTTATCTAATTAAGTGCACATAGTTGCTTATTGATTTGATGGAGTTAAGGCTCAAATCTGTAAACAGAAAGTCAGACACTTAGGATTTGATTAAAACAAGGGCTCCAGGAGATGTAACTCAGGGCATAAGCACCTGCCTGGTAAGTGCAAGGTTGTGAGTTTGATTCCCCCTTGGTACCAAAAACAGATAATAAAAAAAGACAAATAAAGCTGGTGTGGTGGCGCACTCCTATAACCCCAGCACTCTGGAGGTTGAGGCAAGAGGATCCTTGCAAGTTTGAGGCCAGCATGGGCTACAAAGTGAGCTCAAGGCCAACCTGAACTTCATAGTGAGACCCCATCTCAAACACACACACACACACACACGCACACGCACATGCACACGCGCACACACACACACACACACACACACACACGAAGTCATCTACTCCATTCTGCAGCCCCATTGCAAAAGGGAACTTTGAGAATTCCTTAGAGCAGCCAGATTTTATGAGATATGGCTACCTGGGTTTGCTGATAAAGCAAGGCCACTCTATGATATGCTAAAAAAAAAAAAAAAAACAAAAAAAACCCAAAAAACATAACAAAAAGTGAAGTAATTTATTGGGCTTTAAAAGAAACTGAAGCCTTCAAACAGATCAAAAGGGCTTTAGCTTGAGCTCCTACACTAGGATTCCCCGTTGAATCACCTTCTCAATTTGTTCATTGATGGAACATGTTGCTTCAGGAGTCTTAACACAAACTGTGGGCCCTGGGAAAGGCCAGCTGCTTACCTGTGTAAGACTCTACACTCAGTATCAAAAGGATGGCCTCCTTGTTTGCGGGTGCTGGCTGCTACTGCCCTTTTAATTAAGGAGGCAAACAAACTGATTTTGGGACAGAACCTGACTAGTCAGGGGCCACACGTTATTCTTGAGCTACTCAACAGTCAGGCCAATGACTCTCGAAGAGCTACATCACCCAGTACCAGGGACTGCTTGTTGGAAATCCCTGAATCACTTTTCAGCCAGTCAAAGCTCTGAACCCAGCCACTTACTGGCCCACAGAACTTGGACAGCCAGACCATGACTGCCTTATGTTGACAGATAGCACTGGGCGAGTCTGCCTGATCTTTAGATGGAGATTTTAACAGATGCTGAGTGCACCCTGCTCATAGACAGAAGTAGCTCTTGTTAAAAATGGACAAGGTAAAAATTTTAAAAAAGGACAATGTAGCGCCGGCCTGTAACTCCTCTGTTACCACCAAGGAGTGTGGCCTTCTGATAGCCACAGGAAAACAAATTAAGAATAAGGATAAAATTCTACAGCTTCTGGCTGCTTTTGCCAAAAAGGTGGCTGTCATACATTGTAAAGGACATCAAAAGGTAAAAGATACCATCACCCTTGGAAACCAGAAGGTGGACAAGGCTGCCAAACTGACCACAGAAGGCTCATGATGGGGAGACAATGATTTGGTTCACAACTTAGAGATACAACATGAGATCCTACCAAAGACTATTCTCAGCCTGTACCTGTTCCCTCCTTTATACTTAAAAAGAAATAAAATGGGCTCAATAGGAAGGAACAAATGTAGGTCCAAATGGAGTCTGGACTCTGCTGGATGACCCAGTCATCACACCAAAGGAGTCAGCTTCCTTCTGGGTAAAACGTCATCATGGCATCAGCCATGGAGATAAAACTGCTACGGCCCAGCTTCTGAGTCGCTAATATTATATCCCAAAATTGACATCAGTTTGTGCAGCTGTCAGCCAAAGATGCCAAATTTATGCAAAGACTGAGGCCTCAGCGATCCCACAGCTACCGTATGGAATTCAGCATGCAGGATTCTCCTTTTGCAGACCCCCAAGTAGACTTTATTGAAATTAAGCCCTATCAAGGATACAAGTACTTATAGGTCCTTGTTTGTACTTATTCTGGATAACCAGACACATTGCTCACTAGGACTGAAAATATTTCTAAAGTATGCAAGATAATATTAAGAAAAAATATTCTTAGATATGGGCTGCCCCAAGTATAGATATTTGTAGCACAAATGACCCAGAAGCTGACCAAAAAAATTAAACATCAAATGGAATCTTCATGCTGCCTATAGGCCCCAAAGTTCTGGCAAAGTGGAATGAATGTACTAAACCCTAACTAAACACAACTGTGACTAAAAATCAAGACACTTGGGTACCATAGATAAAACTGCTATCCATGACAGAGACCCAGCCCTGGACTTACCACTCCAGAATCAAAAGGGTTCATCCTGCTGAATCTTGGAAGACCTACCCTGACTAGTTGACCCCCTTGGAGACCACGCTGAAGAGACAACACCCTCAAGCTCTGCTCTGGGAGTCGGTGAGTCAATATACGGTTACAGATTAAATGGACATCATATACCGGAATACTCATAGCCCTGATGTACTGTTATTCTGTTGCATTCCTAGCCTTGTTCTACCTGTTGGTTTTGGTATTTGCTGTTGGACTTTGGATTGTATCCTCAAAAGATTGAAGAGTTCCAGAAAAGGTTATCTTTGTTCTTTTCTATCTTGTTATGATTGATGGACTCAGTACTTCAAACTGTCTGTCAAACCTGTAAAACGGCCACCACCCCTGTCCCTTTGATAGGTGTATTGGGGTTACTCCATTTCACTCTTGCTCAAAGGGGAGGATTTGGGGAGTTTCAAGTCCACCTGGGTGGGAGCACACAAGATCTCCTCAGCCACTCCAGATGGGGCCCCCACCAGCCTACTGTGACTTTACACTTTGATGTCTGCCCTGACAAAAGGAGTAATGATTATTACACAGTCTGCGGTGACCAGAGTTGGGAATGGACTTACTAAACCAACAAGAAGTATGTTTGTCAAGGCTGACAGGAACCACCATGTGTAACCCTGCATATATGTATGGTAACCTGCAAAACTGGCATTGTAATATTTGGAGATGTGCCAATGTATATTGGCCTGGAAAAGAAAACCAAAGAGGACTAAATATCTAAAAGGGCCCTCAAAAAACACCTTCTCTCATCCAGTCTCTAGTTCTCTCAAATTACACAAAAGGTGCCTATAATCTTGTTCAGCATCATACATACAATCCCAATGATATCATAAGGGCCTGGGGCCACTTTGCTGGTCATCTGAGTGGATGCTCAGGCAAGGAATGTGCAATGCTGTTGTGAATTCAAAAGGTTATCCCGACTATTTGGGTTGCCAGTTCTAAGTTTTGCACTAACTCTGGTCTCCAAGAGCCCAATCTCCACTGCTCCTTAAAACTGGGTATTGGGACTCCTGTAGTTCTGCAGCACGTCAATCCCAGCTTGCGCAAAGACGGTTGGCTCTGTATGCTGCTTACAACATTATCCTGTCCGGCTTTGGGACTGATTCCAGATGCATCCAGGTTCACTGTTACTCATTAGAGGTCGGCTCCAAGGCCCTCCATCCCAGATAAGGGGCGTCACCACGCACTTCCTGGGACCTGGAGATTCTCAGAATGTGTCGTCTAACTGTGCCTCCATAACCTGGTGCCTCACCCCAGGCAAATGTTGGAACCTTTCTGTGTTCTATGATGGGATTTACCACATGTTTCTTCAGCAGAACATGAGCCTCTGTATTACTGCTTTCCTGGTCTCGGATTTGAATGTCTACCCCGATAATTGGGACCCTTTGGTTTACTCTGGATACCACGAGAAATGGGATAAGTGTTTCTTCCTGGTGGGAATCCCTGGATTTTCTCCCTTCATGGGTAGGAGGCTTACTCAGGCCAATAATGGCTCTCCTGTCAATACTTCTGTTAGGTCCCTGTGTGAGACTGACCCATTTTCTATCTAAACAGTTTGAGGCCATATACCACCAACTGCTTTTACAAATCCACCCCTCCTATCAGCTGCTTACAGCTCTGTAAAAAGAACCTTCCCTATATAAAAAACAGAGGGGAGAGCCGGGCGTGGTGGCTCATGCCTGTAATCCCAGCACTCGGGAGGCTGAGGCAGGAGGATCATTGCGAGTTCAAGATCAGCTTGGGCTACAAAGTGAGCTCAAGGCCAGCCTGAACTGCATAGTGAGACAATGTCTCAAAAGAAAACAAACAAACAAAAAAAAAAAAAAAAAAAAAAAACAGAGGGGAATGTAAAAGAAATTTTAAAACTTATCAACGACATTATATTAAAAGCAGGAAAGGCAAGCTCGCCTTGAGATCCCCCATGCCAGCTGCAACTTGTAAGATAGACATAAATCAATCTGAAAGTACATCTTGTTATGCTAACTTTCTTCAAGATCATTGCCAGGGATAGAGCTCTGCATGCAAGCACCTACCTGGCAAGTCTAAGGGCATGAGTTTGAGTCTCGGTATATAAAAAAAGGACAAATTGGCTCAGTTAAAAACAATGATTGATTCTACTCACTCACCCAAGCCCCTGACCTTCCTGCTGTGTGATAAGAAACCCCTTTCAGCCCAGAGCAAGTCTGCCTGACAACACATGACCCAGCCTATGTGACCAATTGTAAAATAACCTGCTATCAGCCTTTAGTACTTCCTGGCTAAAACATATACGGGTCTGTTTAACCCCAGGGTGGGACTTGGTAATTAGAATTGTTTTCCCAGGCAGCTGGCACAATAAGGAGTTGCCTTTCAACTCCTGGGTGACTGTGTCTCCCATCTGATTTGGTCCTGGTGTTTCTTTTTTTTTTTTTTTTTTTTCCTTTTTATCGGTACCAGGGATCGAACTCACAACTGCCTGCTTGCAAGGCAGGTGCTTATGCCGCTGAACTAAATCCCCAGACCCTGGTCCTGGTGTTTCTACAACAGTATTGCGCCTTCCACGACCCTGGCCCTTCTTTTCAGTTCCGGGACGGGATCTTGCTAACTCAGAAAGTCAGGCTGGGCTTGAATTCATAAATCTGCCCTGCTCAGCCTCCAGCGGAGTTATTCCTTTTTTTTTGGTACCCGGGACTGAACTTACAGCCTCACATTTGCCAGGAGGTGCCTATACTGCTGGGCTAAATACCTGGCTCCCAGTGTAGTTATTCTTTACAAGATCTGAGAATAGCTAAAGTTCTCAGACAAATAACAAAAAATGCAGGTGTGTTACTTTCTCTGACAATGAAAGTAATCTGTGATCATTTCAGAAAACTACCTGCAACAGTGATAACATGAAAACCACTGAAACTCTATCTCACTGCCTCTGTCTCTAACAGCATTATTATTATTACTATTATTATAATTTTTTAAGACAGTGTCATAGCCCAGGCTGTCCTCAAACTCACAGTGACCCTCCTGCCTCAGCCTCCTGAATGTTAGATTTCGGGCATGCATCACCACACATGGCCTCTCTGTCTTTTTTAAAATACAGTTTGGGGGCTGGGGATACTCAATGTTACAGTGTTTTCCAAGAAGTACAAAGCCCAGGGCTCGGTCTTCAGAACCACAAAAGCAAACACACCCTCACGCATGTAATTTTGGGTCCTGATTCTAACTTAGAAAATCTTTTCCCGTCAGTGCACAAGGAAGTCAGTCTCAGGCCAGTGTCCTCCTCTTTGCCCTAGCCTGTCTCATTCTTTCTCCCAGGGCCTTTCAGAGCTGGGGAGCTGAGCCCCAAGGACCAAAGGGGAGAAAGCCAAGGGCGTAGGACTGGGCCAGCCCCCCTTACCTGCCGGAGGAATCGGTTGTTGATGAGGTCGACGACCAGGACCTGGGGACAGGGAATGAGGTCAAGCTACCAGACAGACGTGGACTCAGCCTCCCCTTCCTCCTGCGGCCAGAGGTGGTTGGCAAGGGACCCTCATGGCTCCCCCACGTGGAGAAGCAGGAGGGGCTTTCCACTCAACAGTGCGGCTGGACATGTGCAGACCGGCTGCCCTTCCTGCCCTGCTCCTGTTTCCTTTTTATTTTGTGGTGCTGGGCTTGGACTTGGCCTCTGCACTGACCTACACCCCCAATCTTCTTTTTCTATTGTTAGATGGCATTTTGCTAAGTCACTAAGTTGTCTAGACTGGGCTCGAACTTGTGATCTTCCCGCCTCAGCCTCCCGAGGCCTGGGGCTACAGGAGTATGCCACCATGCCCGGTTTTAGTGATTGTCCTTTAACTGACAGGACAAGACCTACTAGAGTACATGGGCCTTGTCCACTTTGCCTCTGGTTCAAACACACACCTCAGCCACGTGAGCTCTGTGTGTGCTTAGTGCTGGCAGGAGGGGAAGGGGTTGCTGGGTAGGTGGCCATTTCTGCTGTTGTAGCAGACATTAGGCCATTCACAGATACTTCACTCAGAGGGCACAACAGTGCTGCAGTCACCAAATGGCCAGCTGAGCCCCGACCAGGCAGGACCACACAGACCAAGCCTGGGTGTCCGCTGCCCCATGTCCTCACCCCTGCGCCGCCTCCCCCAGGACAGGAGCCACCTTACCTCCTCTAGCGGCAGCTCGTGGAGCAGCGGCAGTGAGCTGGCCAGCAGCCCGACAAGGAAGGGCGTGGGCGAGCACACGATGTCAATCATGGCGGGCGGCAGCACGGGGATGTAGGTGTGCTGCCAGCGGAAGGGGTAGATGAGCGCCACCATCGCGTGGCAGCACTTCGACAGGGTGCTGTGGTGGGGAGACAGGGGACAGGCCGTCAGGGTGGTGGGGTGGGGAGGTGGAAGGCTGGGGTGGAGGGGGCTTCTGCCCAGGACAGGGCGGGCAGGACACTTTGAGGGCAGCCGTGGGGACTGAGTCACCACCTGGGAAACTCACTTGGGTCTGAGGTGTGCTGTGCTGGTGAGGTCTGCTGAAGTTTTAGTTTTGTAGTACTGAGGAATGCCACCCAGGGCCTTTGCACAGAGCCATATCCCCAGCCCTATTTTGTATTTTGAGGTCAGGGTCTCCTTGAGTTGCTAAATTGCCCAGGCTGGGTTTGAACTTTCGATTCTCCCACACCTGGATCCCTGTAAAGTCTTGTCCAAATCACTCATTTCCCTCTCTTCCCCACCCAAGCAAAACCCACAGCAAGTCCTGTGGCTTGGGTATGGTCCCCCACTTCATGTGCAGAGTCTCCAGGGAGGGGTGTCAGGTGGGGGATGATCAGGCCCTGGAGATCCTGCCATCAATGGATCCCACTCTCCCTGGGGTGGGGCAGGGCAGGCTGGTCCTGGAGAGGGGCTGGCTCCTCTTTGCTCCTCACTTTCTCCATCACATGCATGTCCCTTACACCCCATGGGACCCCATGTCCCAGTCTGTGCTGTGGGTGAAGTGACCAGGGTGGGCCTTGCCAAGGAGCTGGTGCCATAGAGTCAGGAACTGACCACATCTTTTTGCTTTACAAAGTACCCTGCCTGAGTGCCTTGTCATAGCAACAGCAAACCAACTGAGATGACATCCAAAGCCTGAGTTCACTTTCTTTTTATTTTCTTTCTTTCTTTTGACATTTTGAGACAGGGTCTCACTATGCAGTTCAGGCTGTCCTTGGGCTCACTTTGTAGTCCAGACTGGTCTCAAATTTGCAACAACCCTCCTGCCTCAGCTTCCTGCATGCTGGGTTTACAGGCATGCAGCACCACACTCGGCTATTGAGTTCACTTTTTTATTGCAAGTGTCTTTGTTTGTTTTCTGACCCAGGCCCTCCTCATGTAGTTCAGGCTGGCCTTGAACTCACGGCAATCCTCCGTCTCAGTCTCCAGAGTGCTGGGATGACAGGTATGTACTACCATGCCTGGCCTGCAGGTGCTTTATATTCCAACTTTTTCTTTGCTCCATTCCCCACACTATCTCTGCCAGGCAATCAGGAAAAATGGGGGTAAGACCTTGGTGGTCACGGGCTAGCAGTCAGCTGCACATTGGACCACTGGGTAAAAGTGAAACTCAAGATACTGTTACTGTTGCCTGGAACGCTGGCCAAATGTTAACAAGGCCGGTGACCAGGCAGAGAACTCTTTTTGTTGTTGTTTTGTTGTTTTAAGAGAAGGTCTTCCTGTATGGTCCAGGCTGGCCTTGAACTCACTACACAGTGCATGCTGGCCTCAAACTTGTGCTGATCCTCCTATCTCAGCCTCCCAAGTACTAGGGCTACAGGTTTGTGCCACAACATTAGGACTATGGGTCCTATTTTATTTAGCTATTCTCCTTCCTTATCTTCTAGAAATAATTAAAAGCATCATAGCACAGCAATCCATGCACACACATTTTTTTTTTTTTTTTTTTTTTTTTTTGTCTTTTTCGTTTTTATTGGTACCGGGGATCGAACTCACGACTGCCTGCTTCCAAGGCAGGCGATTATGCCGCTGAGCTAAATCCCCAGCCCCCATGCACACACATTTATAGCAGCACAGTTCGTAACTGCTAAATCTTTGAGACAGCCCAAATGCCCATCACCCAAAGAATGGATAAAGAAGATTTTTATACAATGGAGTACTACTCTGCTATAAAGAAGGATGAGCTTGAGACATTTCTTGGCAAATGGATGCACCTTGAGACCATGCTCTCAAGTGAAATAAATCAAACATACATGTCTAAATACCACATTGTTTCCCTGGGGGCAAGAAACCGAAAGTGTAAATAATTAACAAAATATATATTGGGAAATGGGAGGTAGCAAAAGAAAGGACAACAAAAAAAGGGAAAAATGGAAATAAAGCTTTTGCAAATGAGGGAAGAGGGGTTAAGGGGGAGTGGTGGGGAAAAAAAGAAGAGCCAGGATTGAACAGACGTCCATTGGCTCTGACTAACAGGAGCCTCCCTGCCGGAGTCCCCCAAGCACTGAAAGGTGTCAGTTAGGAGCCTGGACTCCCAGCTCACTGCTGAGGTTAAAAGTGCCTGCCAGGTACGAAGTCAGGGAAAGCACACAGGAACTCTGATGCTGCCACTGTCTCGGCTGAGAGGAAACGAGCACAGAGTCACGTGACCACTGTGTTAATTAGACACAGCCAGAATTTACAGCCTGGCAGTCTGGGTGGTCACCCCCACATGAATTTTGGAATGTCCTCTACACATACACGCCTCACAGGCTTGGTCTTCAGCTTGATGCTGTGGGAGGTGGTGGAGGCCTGTGGCTGGAAGCTGGGTCACTGAGGACATACTCCACAAGGGGACACTACGATTCTGGGCCCTCCCTTTCCCTTTGTTCCCTGCCCCCACAGTGACAGATCTAGCCTCTCACACGCTCCTGCCAATATGTTTAGTGCCAACAGAGGCCCAATGCAACAGTCAAGGAGCTGGAGACTGAAATCTCTGAAACTGTAAGACAAAATAAACTTTTTCTTCTTTCTTTTGTTTTTTACTGGTACCGGAGATCAAACTCAAGATCTCATCCTTGCCAAGCAGGCATTTGTGCTGCTGAGCTAAATCTCTGGCCCCTCATCTTTCTTTCTCCTTTTTTTTGGGGGGGAGGGTACTATTTTTTTTTTCTTTTTTTTTTGGTGTTTTTGAGACAGGGTCTCTCTATGCAGTTCAGGCTGGCCTTGAGCTCACTTTATAGCCTAGGCTGGTCTCGAACTCACAATGATCCTCCTGCATCAGCCTCCCAAGTGCTGGGATTACAGGAGTGCGCCACCATGTCTGGCTCAAGGGGTGGTATACTATTATGGATTAAAGACTGGTGGTCAGTTTAACACCAGCTGAATTAAATCAGCATGGTGCTGAGCATAGATGTTCCATCTGAGGAAAGTTGCCAGTATAAATAGAGATGTGAAGAGCTGGGGGGTGTGGGTTTCTCTTAAGTGTTGCTATTTGAGCCACTGGTTCTCCTGGAGGAGCTCGTCATGACTAGCTTCCCCAGTGTGAGTTCGACGACCATTGTCATCAGAGGGGCTCGGGACCTTGTTGGTGAGAGTGGCTGTGGTTCACTTGGAGAGCTCTGGTCCTTGCATTGAGCATCACTTCCTGGCTCCAGAGGGAAAGATGTGTGCTGTTTAATCTCCAGGAGAAGCTTGTCATGCTGGCTTTCTGGAATGTACTCAACTGTTCTTGCGGTTGGAAGAGCTCAGGGCCTCTGTGTTGCTGAGTATGGTACCACATCATAAGTATGGCTGTGGTACTTTTCAGGGTTGTCCTGGTTCTTAGTTTGAGCGTGACTTTTCAGCTGCAGTGTAGGACCCTCAACCTACCAGCACAGCTCCCTCACCCCCGGCACAGACTTCCTAGCTTCCACCGCTGACTTTTGGGGCCTTCTCAGTGCAGATCCGTAAAAGAGACTGGTGTGAGTTCTTCTCAAGGGTTCTAGACCTCCAGTTGCACTCATGCGTGGGAGGCATTGTCATGGGCTCTAGATTTTTTTTTTCTTTTTTTTTTTTTATTGGTACCAGGGATCAAACTCATGACCTCCCGCTTACAAAGCAGGCACTTAAGCTAAATCCCCAGCCTCCTAGGTTTTCAGCTAGACTTTTTTTTTTTTTTTTTTTTGTCTTTTTCTTTTTTATCCATACCAGGGATCGAACTCACGATCACACACTTGCAAGGCAGGTGCTTATGCCGCTGAACTAAATCCCCAGCCCCTTAGATTTTTATCTAGACTTATGCAGGACATTGCTGTGGAATCCAGGCCCTTGGCTGAATATTCTGGGTCTTCAGTGTTATGGACAGATTTCCTGTACTTTCTTGTGTTTAATTCTGGGTGACCATCATAATATAGTATTATAAATTCTGTGTCCAGATTCTAATTTTTTTCCTCACAACCCCTGAATACAACAGGCACCAAGAATTGAACTCAGGATCTCATGCTTGCCAGGCAGGCACTGGTGCCACTGAGCTATAGCACCAGCCCCAACCTTTTTATCTTTCAAGTTGATTATCTCCACTACTTTGTCACAGTGACAGGAAGCTAACCCACACATCCACATGCCAAACTCAAGCTGTTTCGGTTCTCTTGCAGGTTCCTACAGGAACAAGCTCAGTACTGGGCTGAGATGGGCCAAGGTGATGTGAAGAGTATGAATCTGCCTTGCTACTGCTGTGAAATACCTCTCACAGATACAGTAATGTGTGAATCTAAAAAAAAAAAAAAAAAAAAAGTTTATAAACAACAAAAAAAAGTGACTTTCTTGAGTAAAAGACTTGTTGCCATCTAAAACTTTTATACAGGGCCGGGTGTGGTAGCTGCCACAAGTCCAAGGCCAGCTTAAACTACATAGCAAGACCCTGTCTCAAAAAGAAAAAAAAAAATTAAAACTTTTATACAATTTTTTTTGTGCACTTCTGACTTTATTATGAGGTGCTCTATAGGCTTAGCCAAGCCTTTTGGAACTGAAATAAATAAACTACAAAACAGCATGTTTATCATCAGGAACATGAAGGCAAGAAGTGGAGGGAAATATTCCTGTGGGTTGCTATGACAACAGAAGCCATCCCAGCACTGTCCCCTTTCCATCTGATAGGCCTGGGCTTGACACAGCATTTAGAAATATGCAGTGTCCACTCTAATGAGCAAAAATGTTATCCCAAATTTGACAGATTTTTGGCTCAACTAAAACCCTTTTCTTACTCATACAGTATTTACCACAATGCCCTGCAGGTTCCTCCTATCGTGGGCAGACACAGTAGCAATGACGACTGAATACTGTAAGTCGTGTTTGTGGAGCAGAGCCATGGACCTAGGCGAAGACCCACTCAGGGATGTCACGGGGCCACTCCTGGGCCTGGTGACATGTCCTGTTCTCATGCTCTGCTCGGCCTCACAAGGGGAGTGGGCCTTAAGGAAGCTTCGGCCATGAAGCTGAGTGGGCTGGGATGGGCGCATGTTTGGGCCTGTGTGGAGGACACAGGCGGCAGCTGCAACTTAGGCTGTAGGTTTATTCCTCACAGAGTCTCCCAGGTCAGAAACTTGCGGCCAGACACTATTCGCTAGGCACTTGCTTGTTAAGGCCTGGCCAAAGAAGCCTTGACCTCCTATGGATACTTGGCCATGAGCTGAATACCCTGAGATGGGCCCAGATTCCTCCTGGCTCAAGGAGAACTTTTGAGCTGAGAGGGACTTGGTGTCCCCAGCAGTATCTGCCTCTCTGGGGAAGGGCCAAGATGACCACTCCACCTGATGCTGAGCCCAGACGGTCCTGGCTGTCTGCTCTCCAAGCCTTCCCTTCTGTGAGGGAAAATCCACCTGACATGTTTTTAAGTTTTCTTTTCTTTTTTTTTTTTCCTCTTTGAGATAACATGGATTTGGGGAAAAAAAAAAACTATTAAAGAGAAAAAAATTATCACAGTAAAAAACACTAACTTCCCTCAAAATTCTTTCTTTGAACCCACTTATCCCATCACTCCTGCCACTTTCTGTAGCAGTCCTGTGAGTCCTCTTCTGAGCACTGCTGTGGCTGCCTTCATGTAATGAACTGCTTCAAAACGTTTCCCTTTCTTTTTTTTTTTTTGTCTTTTTCCTTTTTATCGGTACCGGGGATTGAACTCATGACTGCCTGCTTGCAAGGCAGGCGCTTATGCCACTGAGCTAAATCCCCAGCCCCAAAACGTTTCCCTTTCACGGTCATACGGACTTTGGGGAAGAGCCGGCAGTCCCAGACTGCTGGATCCAGGGGACAAGGTGGAGGATCCCGCAGCACAGTTTTGAGGAGCTGTCTTTTCCTTGGGTGGCGTTTAGGAGCAGCAGCCACCAGATTTCTCACCACAGCTCATTAAAGACACTTAAAAAAGAGCAGCTCCAGAGTTGCTGCAGACAGTGGCAAGAAGAGTGCGATCGTGCACGCAAAGCGAGCAGAGTACTGAGGGGTGTTAATGAGCTGTCTTTGACTGTCATAAAATATTTAAACACGCGCTGTATATTTCCTTGTATATCTATGGGGAGAGGCGGGGCCTTGGAACCTGCCTGACACCTACACCCAGACCACTGCAGCCTGGTTCCCCCCTGTCCTCTGCAGAGCTGGGCGGTCTCTTCCTGGAGCAAACTGGCTAAACCTTTGTGTGGTCAGGGTCCTGACAGCAGCACCCATGTGACAGGGCTGGGGATAAAGATCAGACCTGGGGGTGTGCTCACCTCCCAGAGTGGTGAGGACAAATGGGCACGCATGGAAGCTGGAAAGGGTTTCAAAATGCAATGAAAGCACTTTGCACACATGTACACACTCATAATCACCACTGCACCATGGCCATGCTCTGGCCCCAAAGAGAGCACTGAAGTGATTCCTGCTCCGGCTACCTACTCCTCCTCCCCAGAAAAACCCATCTCTCCAGTGCTGTCACACCTGTCACACGCCATGGTGACAACTGCCTGGACCCACAACAGTCACTTCGTCCTCTCCTGGCCATGCACTTTTAGAAGAGACTGAGTCTCCAGGGCAGAGCCAGCTCATGAAGGTGGGTGAGGAGACACCCTCCAAGTCCTCCAGTCCGTCCCTTGGGGCGTCCTGTCATCTCCACAAACTGCCTAGACAGGGCCGGAGGGACTGGGCAACCACTGAGGTCCAGCAACTCCAATTTCCTGTGTCCCTTGCAACAGCAGCTCTGCAGCAGGGGCCAGTGCAGCCTCAGCTTGGCCACCACCTGTCCCTTCCCAGACCCTGGGCTCCCCAACCCCTCCTCTACCTTCCCACATGGCCCTGCAGAGAGGGACATTTGTCTGTGACAGACCCAGCCCAGGGACACAAGGGCCTGCAGGAGAATTAGGGCAGTCACTGCAGCGCTGGTGTGACCGATCGGTCACTGAAGGGTTACAACTCACCCCCCATTATGAGCTCCCCAGTGCTCAGGAGCTGGAGGACTGCCCAGCAGCCGGCTGTCCAGAGCCGAGAAACCACAGGAGCACAGCACTGGTGACATTTAAAAGCAAATGGTGACCTCTATGACAGGGTGGGGGCAGCAGGAACAGGCCAGAGAGAAGCATCACAAAGGTGACCAGATGGCTGCAGTGAAAGGCAGGCCAGGTGCGCCACTTCCTCCCTGCCCCAGCGCGGTTCTTGTGGATACATTTTGCCTTCATCTTTCTTCTCCCCGTTTAAACGCTTTTCCTCTTTTGTTTCCCAGCTCAGTGTCCTATTTTCTCTCCGAATCACAGCTCTTCAGTGTGTTTGTCTCTGGCAGCATCTTCTCCCCAGATGAGCTCACAAGTGGCCCCCATTGGTCCCACGCCCTTGGTCCCTGAGTGAAGCCAGCTCTGGGTCAGAACTCTGAGATGGTGTGGTACAGGTGAGTCTTCCTTGACGAGCAGATCAGAATTCACTCGCTGGGTGCACTACTGCAGGTCCTTCAGGATATTCTTGATTTGTGAAGTGGCCTTTGTGAGCATAGACTGTGACCCCTAGGACCTTCCTGGGCTACGAACAGTGTGTAACCATGTGTGATCTGGCTGGTTGCTTTTTTTATTTTGGTTTTCTGAGACAGGGTTTCACTATTATGGTCCAGGCTGCCCTTGGCTTCAAACTCAGATCAAGTGTCCTGGCTCAGCCTACCAAGTGCTGGGGTTATAGATATCCCCCACCTCCAATGCTCTGTTTTGTAGTCCTCCCTCTGTAGTTCAGGCTGGCCTTGAACTCACTAGATAGCCCAGGCTGGCCTTGAACTCACAACAATCCTGTTGCCTCAGCCTGCTGGGTGCTGGGATTACAGGGTGCACCACACATCTGTTGCTAACAACCCTCAGTCCTCGGTTTACTGTGAACCCCTTACCCTCTCTTCCCCTTGCAGGATGGGGGACTCTGGTAGGGCCCTATGTCTTTCACACGCCTTCCTTGGTTTACCCAATGGCTGCCCCTCAGGAGCCTCCATCCGCAGGGCCTGTCTCTGGTTCTCCCCTCATAGGAAAGGCCACTGTCTCCTGACTGCAGCCCCCATGCCACCTGCCCTCCACACGACGTGTGGTACCTGAGCTTGTCGGCGATGAAGATGACCCTCCGCTCCAAGAGCAGTGAGGCAAATACGCACACCAGGTGGCGGACGCTGAGCGAGGAGAAGAGCGACTCGAAGTCCACATGCTCCAGCCGGGAGTCCAGGGGGCGGCAGAGCTCGATGACCTGTAAGGCAGCAGGACCACCATGGAGGCACCGCCCACAGCCAGGCCTCTCCCAGGGGCTCCTGGACTCTGCGTCATCAGTGAGGCAAGAGCAGAGACAAGAGGGGCTGGGGGAGAAGGGTGATGGAGACTGGGAAGGGGCACGGCGGGCAGGGAAGCAGCTCAAGTGGCTGAGTCCTAAGCAGTGTTCTCAATAGCAGGGCTCCCCGAGGACAGCACCCTGTGACTGCTGAAGACAGCACTTGCCACGATTCCCAGGGCTCTTGTGTCTCAAGAGGGACCATTAATCAATGGCTGGAAAGGAGCCACAGGGCCTAGAACACAGCCAGCAGGCCCCAGCAGCACACCCAGCATCCTCCTTCGGGCATCACTGCCTTTCTTATTTCTGTTTTGTAGCGCTGGGGATAGAGCCCAGGCCCTGGCACAGGCCAAGCAGGTGCCCTGCCTGAGCCCTCTGCCGGCCCCAAGCAAGCAGGCATTCATTCATTCATTCATTCATTCATCATAGACAATATCCCTAAGTAGCCCGGGTTGGCCTTGAACTCATAGGCCTCTGTCTGCTGAGTGCTGGCCTGACAGGTGGGCACCACCATGCCTGGGTCCTAGCAAGCATTTCCTCAGGGCATCCTGTGCTGGAAGCTGAGCTGGTCCTGCTCCAGCCCCAGCCCTCCCGTGTCTCTAGCAGGGGTCTGCGTTACAGGGCAGCTGGAGACCCTGGCTGGATGGGCTTGGTCCCTAGCACCCCAGGGCCAGAAGAATGGAACAGGCAGGATAAAAACAAATTTCATCACATCAGCCGAGCCAAGGAAGGGACAAACTTCCAGTCTGAGATGAACAAAAGTAGCATCCAAGCCTGCCTTCCCCTCAAAGAATCTGTTTTACACCGTCAAACCGTGCAGGTGCAAACCAAAACATAAGCAGGCTGAAATCAGATTTATCAGTGACTAGCTTGTTTAAAATTTGTGTGTGTGTGTGTGCACTACTAGTGACCGAACCTGGGACCTCCACACTGAGAGACACCCTCAGCTCTTTTTCTGTTTTCTAAGCCAGATCTTGCTAAATCACTAAGTTGTCCAGGCTGGGCTCAAATTTGTGATCCCTCTGCCTCAGCCTCCTGAGTGCTGTTGGCACCTGCTGAGAGCAGCCCCTCTGCCCACTGTGACCCAGCTGTGTGCACCACTGGGCCCTGGAGTGGAAACGAATGGACGCTTACCTCTGTGCCTGACCCTGGCAGGAAGTTCTTGACCACAATAGTCTTCCCCAGGGCGGGGAAAGGGGCTTCCATGACGCTCCTCATGAGCGGCTGCACAAGGGCCGGGGAGATGCCACGTCTCTTCTCCACCTCATCCAAGATCTGCAAGGGTCAGGAGGGTGGCTCAGCCCAGGACAACAACTGGGTCAATTGGGAACCTCCAATCCTCATTTTTTGAGGAATCTCCACACTGATTTCCACAGTGGCTGCACAAGTCTACACTCCCACCAACAGTGGATCAGAGTTCCATTTTCCCCACAGCCCCTCCAGCATTTGTTATCACTTGATTTCTTCATGCTAGCTATTCTTTCTGGGGTGAGGTGGAATCCCAGTGTGTTTTAATTTGCATCTCTTGAATGACCAGTGATGTAGAACATTTTTTCACATATTTGTTTGCTGTTGGTTTGTATTTCTTCATCTGAGAAGTCTGTATTCATCTCAGATGGTGGGCCAGACTTTTACACCTAACTCTGGAGATCCATTCCACACAGCACAGCACTTGTCTCCAGAACACAGGGCTGACTGCGCTGATTCAATGTGACGATTCCTACGTCTCATTTCCCAGGAAACAGACCCAAATTACATTAATATTTTAATAAAATATTTATTTATTTATCTATTTGGCATCGGGGTCGAACTCATGACTGTGCAACTGCCAGGCAGGTGCTTATACCACTAAGCTAAACTTCTTATTTAAATACCCATGTGTACATCAGCCACAGGGGCCTTTTTTTCCAGCAGAAACTAATATAGCATAAGACAGTGCCAAAGGGAGGAAACGAAGCCCCTTGGAATATTCTGGGGGATCCATACCTCCCTCCCTCAGCTCCACTTCCTGGCCCTCTCCTTCCTCTTCCCCCTGGGACCAGCCCTCACCAGCTCCTACTTCCTCCTGGAAGGAGGGCAGGGGGCAGGAAAGGGGAAGAGGCCGATAGTCAGAGAACAAGACTGCAGAGTAGCAGGAGACGGGGTGTGCCCGGGACCTCTAGGGTCCCGCCCTCCCCCCACCCCTTTGGCACTAGGGATTGAACCAGGGCCTTTGCACTACAGTGCATCCCCCTCCTTTTCTTTTCTTTCCTTTTCTTTTTTCTTTCTTTCTTTCTTTTATTTTGAGACAGAGTCTTGCCATTGCTAAATAACTAGCAAGCTTCCTGCCTCAGCCTCCCCAGAGTGTGGGATGACAGGTGTGCGCCACATCTGGCTCCCCCTGCTTTCTCTGAAGTCCAGATTCTCACCTTGGAGAAGAGGCTGAAGCAGCCCAGGCGGCTCACAATGCAGTACACCTCAGGCAGGCGCTTCCCTTTGCCTCCGGGCTGGAGAAAAACAAGGCCCTTCATGAGCAGAGACCCAAAAGCTCTTGGGGACTGTCATGTGCCATTCCTACCCCACATGCCATTCCCACACCCTGTAACTTTTCTTTCTTTTTTTTTTTTCTTTTTTTTGAGACAGGGTCTCCCTAAGCAGTTCAGGCTGACCTCCACTTAATGTAGCTCAGACTGGCCTCGAGCTCACAGCAATTCTCCCACCTCAGCTTCCCGGATGCTGGGATTACAGGCATGCACCACCAAAGTGGACACTGATGCTTTTTGGAAACTGACTTATTTTTTGGTACTGGAAATTGAATTCAGGACCTCATGCTTGCCAGTTGCTTTGTCACTGAGCTATATCCCTGGCTCTGGAAACTGACTTTTAGGTTAATTTTCTTTTCCTTTTTTTTTTTTTTTTTTTTGGTACTGGGGATTGAACTCACAACCCTCGCTTGCAGGCAGGCGCTTACGCAGCTGAGCTAAGCGCTTTAGGCTAATTTTCAAACCAAAAAGGAAATCAAATTCAACACCTTTAAGCCTAAAGTAATTTGAATGACACAATTTATCAACTTGCTTAACCTTTTAACCATTAGCCATGTTTTTTACCTGCTATTTAATTCAACAGATGTTTACTGAATGCCTACTCTGTGCCACCCATTACTTGACTCTTAAATTTTTCAGCCTATTTCTAAGGCTCAAATAAACTCTGAGTGGAAAGAGACTTCCACTCCTTAATATTTTTGAAAAAATGGACCTTACAAAAAATAAAACAGGCTTAGGCTGAGATTTAGCTCAGTGGTACAAGCGCCTGCCTGGCAAGTGTAAGGTGGTGAGTTCAATCTCTGGTACAAAAAAAAAAAAAAAAAAAAAACAAAAAAAAACCAAAAAACAGGCTCTAAACTGCTGTAGTGTAATCTCTTCTTCAGAATCGTTTCCTGACTGTGGCAGGCTACTTCCAAAGGTGACACTGGAGTGGCTGCAGCCATTCTGAGTGTCCTCGTTAAGGGATCTAGGTCAGGGAACATACTGTATTAGAAACTGGCTTAAGGAGAGAAAGGTGTTTAATTTGGTGAGTAAATATCTTTGCCCTGATGAAAAGAGAACTACTTCTACTTACCAATAAAATGCAGGTGAGGCCTCAACCTTTCTGTGTTTGTGGTTACTTATTTTGTTTTGGGTTTTTTTGGGTTTTTGAGACAGTCTCACTGCGCAGTTCAGGCTGGCCTTGAGCTCACTTTGTAGCCCAGGCTGGTCTTGACCTTACAACGATTCTCCTGTCTCAGCCTCCCGTGTGCTGGGATTACAAGTGTGCACCACCACATTATTTATTTGTGGGATTGGTGAACCCAGGGCTTTCACCCTGATCGATATCCACATTCCCAGGCCTGGTAATTTTCTCTCTCTCTTTTTTTTTTTTCCCTTCATTTTTGTTCCAGAGACAGGGTCTTGATATGTCACTGTGCAGCCCAGACTGGGCTTGATTAAACCTGCAATCCTCCTGCCCCAGCCTCCCAGGGTGCTGGGGTCACAGGTGTGCCTGTGTTACCACACCTGACTCTTTTTCTGCATTTTTATCACCCCGCCCGGCCTGCGCCCTGTTAACCTGCCAAGCCTCCTGCTCCTCCTCACTGGGTGAAATGGAGCCTCAGAGGACCCAAAGCCAGACTGTGGCCGCCCAGCAGCCATACTGACCAGCAGCCTCCGGCAGTACCCGAAGCGTCTGCTTCCGTCTTCTCCGGTGAGGACAAATGAGAACGTCTCACTGTGGGTGGGAGGACAAAGGCATTACAAGGTGAGCTGTCCAAAAGGTGCCTCAGCGTGGTGGCAGTGAGGGACGGGGACTGGTCCACTGCCCAGCCCACTGCCAATTGTGCGTGACAGCTTCCAGGGAAGTGGCACAGAGGACAGCGCTCAGGTGCCAGCACCCTAAGAGGAAATGAGGTTCCCACCCCCTGACGCCATTGCCTGGGCCACCTACTCCATGAAGCACAGCACAGCTTTACTGCCATGGCCTCTGCACGGTCACAGTGCCTCTGACACCCAGGCTGGGACAGCAGGGCTCCAGCATCTGATGTTGAGCAAAAGCACAGATGGAGACTGAGTTCAGCATGGCCCGGCTGCGAGGCACTGCCTCCCTGTCTCCGGCCAGGCCAAGCATCACCTTGGTGAAGTCTGGGGGGACACAGATGCCCTTACTGCATGGGAGCCTGGGACACCTTTGTGTTCATCCAGCAAAACGACTCCCCTCTCAAAGGGTTTCTGTTTTTTTCTGTGACACTGGGGATTGAATCCAGGTTCTTCACCCCAAGCTACATCTCTAGCCTTTATGTTGTTGCTATTTTATTTTATCAGTACTGGGGATCGAACTCACGACTGCGTGCTTGCAAGGCAGGCACTTACACCACTGAGCTAAATCCCTAGCCCTGCTGTTTTATTTTGAGAGAGGTCTCTAAATCCTAGGCTGTTGCCCAGGCTGGGCTTGAACTTGTGACTATCCTGCCTCGGCCTCCGAAGTGCTGGGATTACATGCCTGGCTGGCTCAGATAAGTTTTATAAACGCAGCAGGGGGAATGTCTAGGCCAGGGTCCGTCAGGATTGCTGCAGCAGGGCTGACATCCAGGTGGGCTTTGTACTTTTGCTTTAGTCACTGGGGATGAGCAGGGAGGCCAGCATGTACCTGGTAAACTGCTGGACAGGGGTCCAGTCCTTGGCATCAGGGAAACAGAACTGCGGAATGGCCTTCAGCTGGTCCTCAGCCTCCCGGGTGAACTTGAAAGTCCTTTCCAGCTGCAGAGAGCGGGCAAAGGAGGCTTGTTAGTGAGTCCCTCATAGGACAGTGGTCAGGGCCTTGCCTCCCACCTTGTGACTGTCCCTTACCCTCCCTTCAAGGGCTGGTGGCTCAATCTGAGGGACGCTTGTTCCCACAGTAGTTTGAGCTACAGTCTTAGCGGAAAGTCAAGAAGAAAACATAGTCTTTTTTTGTTTTTAGACAGGGTGTCCCTGTGGTAGCCTTGGCTGGCTTTGAACTCATGACCATTCTCCTGTGTCAGCCTCCCTAGTGCTGGAGTTACAGGTGTGCACCACTATGCCCAGCTCCAATGTTTTAGAAAAATGTTCTTTAGGCAGTTGTAACATAACCATTCCCATCAGAAAGCGAAAGCCGTCAGGGTGGTCTTTTCCACACAGAGCACCCCAATCAGCTCCTCTGCTCCCTGGGGCCAGGAAAGAATGTGGTAGCTCTCAGAGGACATACAAGCAGAACTGCACTACACCAGCCAGGTGATGTGGCATGAGCCTGAAAATTCCAGCATTCTGGAAGGCTGAGGCAGGAGGATGACAAGTCTGAGCACAGCCTGGGCAATTTAGCAGCTTTGTGAGACCCTGTCTCAAAATTAAAAAAAAAAAAAAAAAAAAAAAAAAAAAAGATTACACAGTATTGTGAAACTCAGCCATCTTCAGAGTCATTAAGTGTGGAACTAGAAGGGAACTCGACACCACACAGCTACTAGAGATCCTGAAATATGCCCTGAGATGGGTGGTGTTTGTCCTGATTAACATGACCAGGGACAAAGTGGGAGAAAAGCCATTGTCCTCCTGGCCTTCTTTCTCAAATTTTCACCCTCTCTGATGATGTCGCAGTAGGTGCCAGCCCACCACTGACTGCAAGACAACTTTCATGAGAAGGACCAGGAAATATTAGTCTGACTTAGAGATCACATTTAAACTCACAAGACTGCTTATTTTGTGCAGACACAGAAATTTGTTTTTATTTCACCTCTTTTTCTTGTGGAATCTGTTTTGTTCCATCCTTTGGTGTACTAGGGATAGATTAGGGCCCTGTTCATGCTAGGCTTGTGTAGTTCTGTTTCGCGTATATCTCCAACTAGAAAGCAGAGAACAGACTGATTTGACTGACTTCAACCTCAAACGCCTCCAATCTAATCCCCAGGCAGACCAAATTCAACTCAAGCCACAAAAGGCCATGAATATTGCAGCTGGGGCGGCTCAGTCAGGGAAAAGCAATCAGCCACTCCTTAGGAGGTCCTTGAGTTTTTCCTCCAGACACATAGTCACTATTTTTTCTGTATGATGTTCTCTCCTAGGTGTGGTACAGAAGAGCCCGTGGGTCCAGCGTGGTCTCTGAACTGACAATTCACTAGCTTAGAGGGGTTTTTTTTTTTTTTTTGTCTTTTTCATTTTTATCGGTACCGGGGATCGAACTCACGACCGCCTGCTTGCAAGGCAGGCGCTTATGCCGCTGAGCTAAACCCCCAGCCCCGCTTAGAGGGTTTTTAACGTGCTCCCCCACCCCCTTCATTACTACAGATTGAACTTAGGGCAGGAACCTCTGCACTGAGCTATACTCTCAGCCCTTTTTTATTTTTCATTTTGAACAGTGTCTCCCTAAGTTTTTAAATTGCCAGGGCTGGGCTCAAAGTCACAATCCTCCTGCCTCAGCCTACCAGACAGCTGAGATTACAGGTGTTTATCACTACGCCCAGCAGAAGCACTAACTTTAGAGTTCTCTTGGAGTGTCTTGAAGAAAAGCAAATACTAGATGCACCTAATTGTATAAAGAGGTCCTTAATCACCAGAGTGAAGGCCTAAATCGTAAAGAACATAAAGGAAGGAACAAAGACATCTTCCCATGGGGAGACAAGTTAAGAAATGCAAAGTCGACCTTGGAGAAAATCAAGTTCAAGCAGTTTTCCACATGGCCATGTCTCCATGAACTCTCATGAAAATAAATGTGTGATATTGAAAAATTCTGTTTTGAGATTAGGTCTCACTACTTAGCCCAGGCTGGCCTTGAAATCCCAATCCTCCTGCTTCAGCCTCCAAGTAGCTGGGCGGATAGGTGTGCACCACTAGGCCCAGTTAGATTCATACGTATGACAGACCACACTGAGGGCCATTTCCAACTCCTAGACCCCAGGTCTCCCTCCCACCCCCATCTCCAAGTCCACAGCCCAGCCAGACAACAGCAACAGTGCTGCCAAGCCCGGCTGGTCCTGGCCGGCTGGTACCTTCAGCGGGAATTGCTGGGTGAGCTCCGGCACGTAGGCAGCCCCAGCCTGCTTCCTGTGCAGAGACACAACCACGAAGAATTCGAAGAGCTGCCTCTCCTGGCACTCCAGAAGCTCACGGGCTGGATAGCGAGGGGCCTGCCTCAGGCGGGACTGCACGTTGACCAGGCGCTGGCTGTGGGCTGGGGACAGAGGGAGGTGGAAGGGACCTCAAGCTGGACCCTGCTTCCTGTCAGGAGGACCACAGAGCCCAGCAGCTCCATCGAGGGCCCCAGGGTGTGCCCACACTGAGCTAATCCCTCAGGCTCCTTGCCAGTCTTCAGGGGGAACCTGTCCTGGGGTAGCCCAGCAGGCCAGCAGGCTGGGGACTCGCCTCACCTGTCCTTGGGGTGGGGACACTCAGGCCTCCCCTGGCTCTTTTCTGTTCCCTTTCTGAGGTCAGGATGTGACAAAATCCAGCATACAGGGTTTTGGAAATGGGGGGGGGGGCACTGAGTCACATCCGTGACCTGGGTGCCTCTACATCACTTCATCTTGGGGTGACCCAGGTGCCTATCACCCTGCCCAGCAGGGCCAGGCTTGCTCTCTCTGGTTCCTCCCCAAGGTCTGAGAAGTCTCAGAAAACCCATGAAAACCTGAACCAGGGTTCCCAACTGTTAGGAACCAAATTTCAACAACTTCATCTGACAGGTGAAGACCCAGAGGCCCTGAGGTCTTCAGAGAGCTCTAGGTGTGGTTGTCGCATGCCTGTGCTCTCAGCACTCTGGAGGCTGAAACCGAAGGGTCGCCCCAAGTTTGATACCCCAGGGGCTGGGGATTTAGCTCAGTGGCATAAGCGCCTGCCTTGCAAGCAGGCAGTCATGAGTTCGATCCCCGGTACCGGTAAAAACGAAAAAGACAAAAAAAAAAAAAAAAAAAAAAAACAGTTTGATACCCCAAGGTCCTGCACAAGGCTGGGCTCCAATGTCCTCTCAGACACCCATGCCTCCCAGAAAGCCTGGCAGGACACATGCGCCCCTTCCTTGTGCTGGGGACCAAAGGTCATGATGATGGTGGCAGTGCTGTCCTTACCTTTTAGCTTTTCCTCGGTGTCGCTGTCGGACTCACTGTTCTCATCTGTCACTAGATGAAATACAAGGAGAGACATTGCAAAGGTGAGTTCTTTTTTTTTTTTTTTTTGTCTTTTTCCTTTTTATCGGTACCGGGGATTGAACTCATGACTGCCTGCTTGCAAGGCAGGCCCTTATACCGCTGAACTAAATCCCCAGCCCCGAGAAGGTGAGTTCTAATGCAGGAAAAGGGATCTAAAATTTCTAGTGGGAGGAGGCATTGTGCCATCTGTTCAGAGTAACAAACTCCAGCTTCATCTAGTGCAATGGCTTCCCAAACCCTGACTCTAGTTAAGGTGGCTCCTGGATCAGGGCTAGGGAAGTGACCGCCCAGTTAGGCCAAGGCTTAGGCACCCCCAGCAGGTGCCACCCAGGCTCTGGTCCTGGCTTCTGACTATCCAGGCGACAGCCCTGGCCAGTTGGTACCTTCAGAGGTCTGTAGCGCCATTTCGGGGCCCTGCATGGTTACCCACCCAGTGCCAGCCGGAAGTGGCTTCTAGGAAGTCTCCAGGGCCCTACCTTTTCCTGAGCCGCTCTCTGTGGACTGCGACAGCCTCTTCACTCGCTTCTTCCCTCTCCGGGCCTCATAGATGGCATTGATGCGCAAAACCAGCTACCAGACACAGGGAGGACAAGCCAGGGTGAATGACCCCCCAGGGTGCCAGCCAGTATCCCTGGGGTGAGAGGGGATGTGCTCAGCACTGTCTCTCTCTTTATCATTCATCCCTTCCTGCCACACACGAGGGATCTGTGGGATGCTGTCCCCTGCCCCACAAAGGCCAATGTAGCAGCTGAGACACACACTCCTGGTGCGGTGGCCGCTCTCCCTCCCTCTGACACTGTGATGTCACTGTGGCTTGGGAAGAAGTTTTTGCTTCCAAAACAAAGCAAGCAAAAGATGTGACAGGAAAACATAGTTCCCAGGCTGGGCCCTACAATGGGAACCACTCCAAGAATGTGTGAGTGGCTCTGACAAAATGGTTCCTCCCTGGCCACATGGAGGATGAGGGCCCTGGAGTTCACCTACCCTGTGTGTAAGGACAGCCCACATCATCAAGTCTCATGGACTTTCTATGTGTTCCACATGTATGATGCCAAAGTGCACAGGTGGCACACATCTGTCATCCCAGCACTCCAGAGGATGAGGCAGGAGGATCACTGTGAGTTCAAGGTTACACAGCAAGACCTTTTCTCAAAAAACCAACAACAAAAAAGTGCATGGGGATCCTCTATTATATGACACATGCCATCTAGGTTTCACAGAAGCCACACTGCCCAGACAGCCACTACCCGTACCCTGTCAGGGCTGTGTGTCCTTCCACATTGTTCCCCAGCTGCTGCTATGACACTGGTGGATGACATGGATGCAGCCCTACAGCAAAGGCAAGTGCTAGACCAGTGACAGTGTGGCATCTCTAGGAGCCTTGCTGGCCCTCCTGAGAAGCTGGAACATGTGGCTGCTGTATCTTGTTCTCCTGGGGCCCTGGGTTCAACGAAGCCCACCTTCCCGAGATTTGTGGTTCAGGAACCCCAGACGGGAGCACCACTGTGGAAGGCGTTGTGTGGAACACAGAATCATTCCTGTGATTTCATGGACACAGAGCAGTACAGCTATGTGTCAAATACAGCATAGCTTATTTTTAGAGATGGGATCTTGCTGTATTGCCCAGCCTGGTCTTCAATTCCCCCTCCCAAGCAATATTCTTGCCTCAGTCTCCCAAGTAGCTGGGACCACAGGGATATGCAGCTGTGTCCAGCTAATGTATTTTATCTGTATATATCAGTGAGCAAAAACATAGGCTAGAAGCTGGGGATGTCACTCAGGGGCCACACGTGTGCCCAGCGCATTCGAAGCTTTGGGTTTGGTCCCTGTACTGCCCTTCCAAAGGATGGTAACCATTTTCCACGGTCTACGGATATTTTAATGCTTATTATTGTTGTTTTTTGTTTGTGTCTTTTGTTTTGTTTTTTGAGACAAGAGCTCACCATGTAACCTAGGCTGGCCTTAAACTCACCATGTAGTAGGCTAGCCTTGAACTCATGGCATTCTTTCTGCTTCAGCCTCCCCAGTGCTGGGATTACAGCTTTAACAAGTATCAGGGCAGGGCTGAAGTCCTGGCTCCAAACTGATCAATCACACTCTGATCAGTCACACTCTGTTGGGAGCAAATTGGTTGTGAAGTTGTCCCTGACTTTCTTTCAGAAAGTGTCTATCGGTTGTGTCACTCTGAGAATCGTGACACAACCCCTAGACAGTGTCCCATCTCCACGTCCTCAAGCTCTCATGTGCCCAGTGCTTTACAAGGTTCTGTGCACGGCAAGGCTCCTGAAGCCCAGGTTGGCCTTGAACTCGGGGTGATCCTCTTGACTCAGCCTCCCAAGGGCTGGTATTACAGGCGCGTGCCACCATACGTGCAAGGCACATTCCTATCCTCAAAACCAGAGGGCTGAGGCTGAAGGAAATCCACCAATTAACCCCAGTACCTTGTCCTCTAGCTCCCTTTCTATAACTACCCACGCTCTTCAGCTCGGTACCTTGGTGCTTGGGCCTAGGGCCTCTCTGGGTCTTGGATCTCTACAAAGACTTACATAGAACGTGTGCTCCTCCTGTGACCCTGCCTCCCTTCAGCATAACCTCAGCACCCTGCATACCCCGAGGGAGAGGAAAGTCCCCACACGGAACCACAGTGTCAATGAGGAGAAAGCTTTGTGGGGCCAACACCGGGGAAAGCATGGAAGTGGGATTCGCAGACACATGGGAGGCTTAGGCCATCCACCCTGGGGACAGCACAGCACCAGGCTATAGGCCATCCACCCTGGGGACAGCACAGCACCAGGAGACTGGTTTTGCGCATTTCCCTATGGGACAAAAGGAAGAACCCGGGCCAGAGATTTAGCTCAGCAGCACAAACGCCTATCTGGCAAGTGCGAAGTCATAAGTTTGATCCCTGGTACAAAAAAAAGAAAAAAAAAAGGAAGAATTGGGATTATTGGTACCACTCATCTGAGATTTCCCATTGACTCTTCTAAGCATAAGATCATCTATGGCTTGTTAAGATATCATAGGATTATACTCCAGGTCGAAACACTTACAAACATAAGGTTATCTAAACTCTCTGGAGTCAGAGTCCTCGGATGAATTGTAATCCCCACCTACCACGTATACAGCTAATAAACAGTGGCTGCTTTGGGAGTGCAGAGGTCAGATCCAGAGACACTAACCTCCCAGCCATTGCTGGAATCTGATACTTGTCTCTATTTTTTTCTTACAGCATTCTTGAGACTGACAATCAGGATCCTTGGCCGAGTTCCTGGTAGGCCTGTAAATCTCAGAAATTGGGAGGCTGAGGCAGGAGGATTTCTGAGAGTTAGTGGCCAGCATGGGCTACATAGTGAGTTCAGAATCAGCCTGAACTACATATCAAGACTCTTTCTCAGAAAAAGAAAACATGCCTTCTGGTATCAGAAGAGTAGTTGAGGCAGGGAGAGGGATGGCTAAGAGGAAGGCTAAAATAGTGAACAGGACGGAGGCCCTGGTGTCCCAGCCTCTGGCTTCTTGCGTTTTGGCCTTTGGGGACACAGGGAGCAGAGGATCAGAGCAAGGGTCCCTCCAAGCCTTCTTTGCAGAGAAAGGGAGTACGCCCGAACCAGAAGTTCACTGAATGGGTTACCTTGGGGATCTTTCTCTTCCTCCTCCCATTCTGCAGGTCTCCGAGGTTAAAGGTAGTGTCATCAGGGCTGCTGGGGGTGGAGGGTGGACTGGTTTTGGGAGGGGACACTGCTCCATCCCGACTCAGCTTCCTCATGTCCAGCAGTCTGAAGTTCTTCTTCTCCGAATTTTGCCCGAAAAAGGCAGGTTTGGATAGTGACTGCTGTGTGGAGAAGACAAAGCAGAACAGTCAGTAAAAGAGGCTGGACGGAGACAGCCGGAAGTGCTAGTGATGGAGACCATGGCTCTAGAGAGGCATCTGAGTGCTGAGGATGGAGACAGCACTCAGCCTGGCTCAATCCGACTTCACAGATGAGTCCTGTGGGGTTTGTTTTGTTTTGGTACTGGGGAGTGATCCCAGAGCTACATCTTTTTTTTTTTTTTGTCTTTTTCATTTTTATCGGTATCGGGGATTGAACTCATGACTGCCTGCTTGCAAGGCAAGTGCTTATGCCGCTGAGCTAAATCCCCAGCCCCCGAGCTACATCTTTTATTTTACTTTATTTTTTAAAAGGAAGTGTTTATTTATTTATTTATTTATGTACGGGGATCTAATTCACGACCTCGTGCTTGCCAAGGAGGCACTTACACCACTGAGCTAAACCTCTGGCTCCTGTTTTATTTTATTTTTGAGACAAGGTCTCCCGCTAAGTAGCCAGGCTGGTCTTGAACTCACAGCAGCCCTCCTGCCTCAGCCTCCCAAATTCTGGGATTACAGGTGGGTGCCACCATGCCCAGCCCTAACAGGACTTTCTGACAATCCAAGAGCTACATACTGGGAGCCCTGAGGTCGGTGATAGCCCTGTGCTGGTTCTGTGATCACTCAGTACCCTCCCTCCCCCGTTTCTTTTGATGGTAATTAACTGAACCCAACGGGATAAGAGATTAGGGCGCGCAGACCGGGCTAGCAGAGCAGGCATGACCTGTTAATTATAAAATCTCAGAGCGCACAGGCAGGACAGTGCCCAACGCCTGCACGCGGACTTCTCGTGAGAACTCAAAGCAGGTTTCCCCGGGATCCGCTAGACCTGACGGTCAATTTGAGGAATGGGATCGGGGCGCTGCCTCTCTGGACCCCATCTACAAGTTCCCGCAGGTTTCCTTGAGATTTGGGCTGCATAAAAGACACACATGCCACAAAACACCTGCTATCCTGGCTTCTCACAATAGTCTCTCTCACTTCCTCTAGGGGTCCATTTATTGCTTATTCCTTTACTGGGCCCAAGTTCACTCCGCAGTCAGTTTCTCCCTTACTCTTCACCTTTATTTTTTTCAAATAAACTTTGCAGTTTGTTTGTTTGGTTTTTTCTATTTCTTTCTTTCCTCACTTGACAGGGTCTCACTTTGCAGCCCAGGCTGATCTCCCAACGATCCTCCTGCCTCAGCCTCCCCAGTGCTGAGATTACAGGTGTGCATCACCACGCCCAGCTCCGTAGTATCTTCATGCCTAGTATTTTTTTGGGGGGTGGGTATCAGAAATCAAACTCAGGACCTTGTACTTGCCAAGCAAGTGGTATGCCACTGCGCTATATTTCCACTCCCCCATTTTTTTTAATCCCTAGAATCTTATTTCTTTTTTTTTTTTTAATTTTTTTTTTTTGTCTTTTTCTTTTTTTATTGGTACCAGGGATCGAACTCACAACTGCCTGCTTGCAAGGCAGGCGCTTATGCTGCTGAGCTAAATCCCCAGCTCCACCTAGAATCTTATTTCCAAAACAAAGTTTTTAAAAATGAAAAGCCAAAACTGGGTATGGTGATATAATTCTATCATTTGGAAAGCTGAGGCAGAAAGATTGCTGTGAGTTTGAGGCCAGCCTGGGCTACACTGCGAGACCTTGTCTCAATCAAAAAGAAAAAAAGTTAGATGAAATACCTGTTACAAAATTCAGGGGCTGGTAGTACAAGATTTGCCTAGCATGCATGAGTCCCTGGGTTTAATTCCCAGCACAACAAACAAAAGAATTTACAATTCAATGCAAGACTTATTTTCTTGATATTACAACAAATTAATGAGAAAAAGATGAACAAATAAAAAAAAAAAAAAAACCAAAAAAGGCAAAGCATGGTAAGTTCATAGGAAAGGAAATACAGTGATTCTTAGATATATGGAGAGATTTGTACTTTGACCTATAAAAGAAAACTAAAACTGTTGAAGAAACAGTTTTCACTCAGATTAGCAAAGGTTAAAAAAAGATAATTTAAACCAAGCACTCTGGTCCATGCCTGTGATAATTCCAGCACTTAGGAGGTTGAAGCAGGAGCATCGTAAGTTCTAGGCCAACCTGGGCTACACTGTGAGTTCAAGGCTGACCTGGATTACATGAGATACTATCAAAGAATACCACACCTACTGGGTACAGTGGTGCACGTCTGTAACCCCAGCACTTGGGAGGCTTAGGTCAGGAGGACAACTGCAAGTCTGAGGCCAGCCTGAGTTACACAGTGGCTGCAGCTAGTCTGAACTACATAGAGAGACCCTATCTTAACTCTCCCTGCTAAAAAACCCACGAAGACAACACAAAACAAAACAAAGCGAAGCAAAACAAAAGAACAAACAAACAAACCTATACCACAGTAACTGGAACGTAACTATAATCCTAGAATCCAGAGTTTAAGGTAGTAGGGTTGCAAGTTTGAGGCCTGCTGAACAAGTCAGCAAGACCTTTTATCCAAATTTAAAAATCAAAAGAACCGGGGACGTAGTTCTGTGGTAGAAAGGCCCTGGGTTCAATGCCCATAACTGAAAAAAATTGAGTAAGTCACTTCCAAAAATCTGAGAAAATTGATTTCTGTCATTTAAGGTGTCATACCCACCCCATCTGATAACTCCCTGTGTTGTTAAAAAGCAGAGAAAATGTCACTTTCACACAGTGCCGGTGGGAGTCTAAACTAGCCCAACCCCATGGAGCACCTAGGGCTATTAACAAAATGACAAAGCACATTCCCTTTGATCCAGCAATTTTCCCTCAAGGAATCCCCTCCTCACACACATATGCTTGTGCCAAGTACAGGTTACATGCTACAGTGACATGGTTTGTAATTAAGAAATATTAAAAAAAAACCATAACAACATAAATGTCTATCAACAGAGGCCAGTCAAATAAATTATAGTTCACATGGCAGACTGCTATACCAACCAGGGTCAAATTTTTTTCAATTTTGTACCAGGGATCGAACTCATGACTACGCGCTTGCAAGGCAGGCACTTATGCCACTGAGCTAAATCCCCAGCCCCTCAAAAACTTTGTGTGTGTGTGTGTGTGTGTGTGCGTGTACTGCTAAGGTAAATTCTCTCAAATATATACTATTATGCATAAAAAGCAGAATATAAAATAACACACTATGCTAATTTTTATGTCACTACGTTGTAAGGCACAGTACTGGTGGCATATGTATAGAATAGTTTTGGAACAACAGTTCTGTATAGATCAAGATATTGACTCACTGTAACCGCTCTGGGAGAGAGAAAAGGGGAACAAAGGCAAAGGAAAAATTTTCACTGTCTATCTGTTGTACTCCTTGAAGTATGAACTATGTGACTCTAGACCTATCCACTACAGTAATAAATTATAGCCAGGCATGGTGGCGCATGCCTGCAGTCCCAGCTGAGACAGAGGATTGAAACTCAAGCTCAGCCCAGACAATTTAGTGACTTAGTGAGAACTTGTTTCAAATAAAAAATAGAGGGCTGGAGGTTTAGCTCAGCAGCACAAGCACCTGCCTGGAAAGCGTGAGGTCGTGAGTTCAATCCCTGGAACAAAACAAAACAAAACAAAACAAAACCCACCACCACCACCACCACCAAAAACAAAGAAAAAAATAGGGCTGGGGGTTTAGCTCAGCAGTGTAAGCTTGGCAAACGTGAGATCATGAGTTTGATCCCTGGCACCAAAAATAAATAAATAAAATAAAGGGGCCAGAGGTATAGCACCGTGCAAAGGCCCTGGTTTCACTCCCCAGTACTGTGAAAATCAGTAGCATAATACATCACAAACTGAAGCAAGGACAAAAATCACAGTCATTTGAACAGATGCAGAAAAGTCCTGTGACAAAATCCGACACCCATTCATGATAAAGCATTAAAGAAAATAGGTACTGAAGGACCTTTTCTCACTCTGATAAAAGCCACTAACAACGTATCTACTGCTAACATCATATGAAATGGGGAAAAACTAAAAGCATTTCCTCTGAAATCAAGAACAAGACAAGGACGTCCACTTTTACCATTCCCGATCAGGCAAACAAAGAAATAAAGGGAACACACAGGAAACCAAGTCAAACTCTCTTTATTTGCAGATGACACAAGTCCTAGAGCTAGCCAGGGGTTTAACTCAAAGGTGTAAGAGCCTGCCTGGAAAGTGTAAGGTCGTGAGTTCAATCTCTGGTACCAAAAAACAGTCCTAGAGCTAATAAGCAAATTCACCAAAGGAGCAGTACATGCAATTAAATCAGTAGCATTCCTGCATACCAATAGTAAACCCATTGAAAAAGAAATCAGGAATCCCACTCACAACAGCTTCAGGAAATTATTTAGGAATTAACCTAACCAAGGAAATGGAAAACCTCTACAGTTTTCTGAATAACAAGATTGAAGGGCGTATCAGAAAATGGAAAGACAGCCGGACGTGGTGGCTCACGCCTGTAATCCCAGCACTCGGGAGGCTGAGGCAGGAGGCTGGTTGCGAGTTCGAGACCAGCCTGGGCTACAAAATGAGCTCAAGGCCAGTCTGAACTGCATAGGAAGACCCTGTCTCAAAAAGACCAAAAAATAAATAAATTAATTAATTAATTAAAAAAAAAAAAAAGAAAATAGAAAGACATCCTTTGTTCCCGGATAGGCAGAGCCAATATTATCAAAATGGTCACAGTACCAACAGCAATATGTAGATTGAATGTGATCCCAAGAAAAGTATCAACAGCATCCTTCACAGAACTAGAGAAAAAACAACCCTAAAATTTGTATGGAATGGGAAGAGACCCAAAATAGCAAATGCAATCCTGGACCAGCAGAGCAAAGCAGGAGGCACTATGATTCTGGATTTCAAGTTAAAATACAAAGGGACAGTGATTAGAAACAGCATAAAAATAAACATGGTAAACAATGGAACAACTGAGGACACAGAGGCAACTCCCCACACCTTCGGCCATCTGGTCCTCAACAAA